GCAACAGCAACAGCAACCGCAACCGCAACCGCAACCGCAACCGCAACCGCAACCGCAACCGCAACCGCAACCACAACCACAACCGCAACCACAACCGCAACCACAACCACAACCACAACAGCAGCAGCAGCCGCAGCGGCAGCAGCAACAACAACAACATGTGCCGTTCGGCGTTAGCGGCCCGTGACAATAGTGTGATTTGGCCACCTGCGCAGCTCAAAACCCTGCTTGTTGCAGTGTTACTGTTCACGACGAAATAGAGCTCGCTTTTCGTGCTTTTCATGCTCTCACTCACTCAGCCACCCACCCACTCACCCACACCCATCCACCCACCCCACCCACCCACGCACCCACCCACGCACACTTACTCTGTCCCTCCCTCACCTCCACACGCACTCTCACACGCGCTCTCACATTCACCAGCAGCAGCAAGGCAAGCGCCCGCACCACATGCATTCAAACGCAGAAGCACGCACACACACACACACCCACACGCACACTCTTGAACTCTCAAAGAGAAGCTAATCCTTCGAGCGCAACTGATGAGTCTCGAGCGGGTGGGTTTTCGAGTACAACTGAAGGCTGCGTGCGAAAAAACCGGCGGCTCAACCGGCAAAGAAATGCAAACGCAATCATGCAAATAGACCTTAAACGCGGATGATCAGTCCGCGCTTCCCCCATGCTGGTTAGCTTCGTTGGCACAGGTCACCACGATGGGCGTGCGCCCCCTGCTGAGAGTTGGAAAGGTGGCAACAGGGTAAATCTGTTGCTCCGCACACCTTGATGAGGAGCGAGTGACTCTTTCCATGGAAGATGCAGCCCACGCACACAGTGATCCCAAAAACCGACCAAAAGGTCCCGAGCGGCGCGGGGAACGTGAATTTTCACGTCCAACACTCAGAAGGGTCCGCGAGATCGCTGTGTTGTGACAAAGACGCCGATGATCCACGAGCGACGAGTGGCTGCATCATAGCGGGGAAGACCAAATGAGAGCGGGCAAGGTCAGCAATCAGCGGTGAGGAGGGGCTGAGGTTTCTTTTCTTGCATGGTTAACCCCGTGCGTAGTCTCGTTGATGGCAGCAAGGTGAGGTTGAAGAGCAAAGGATTCATTCCGAGAAAGAATCCGCTGATAGCCTTGATTCTGCCAGTCCTGGATTGTCCAGGTGTCGTAGTTGTATGATTGGCGCGACTGGTCATGTGGATGGTGCCACTCGAGCCCATGAGGCTGTTGTCCGTCAGGCAGAACCGGTTCCCAGTCCCTGTAACTGCATCACAAGGGTAGAAAATCTAGACCCGCTCATGACCGCCCCAACGGCGGTACTCTAACCACGGTGCAGGATCCTTGTTACCTCCGAGATCGAGTGCTTGATGTTCAACATCCATGAGTATGAAAGGTATGAGGCGCGAACAACTCCCAACTTCCAAGTTGAATCTGAACCGCTCAGCGAGCAAAGTACAAATCAAACACAATGGGCGCGACGCACAGTCAACAAGATCACAAACATGCATTCGGACTTTTGGTCGACAAACTTGCTGACGCCGATGGTTGGGAAGTCAGATGAATCAATGAGCTAGTTGTTGCAGGGTGTTGATGAGGAGCTTCTTGTTCATTGCGCGTGCGGCTGGCGATCTGCAGCCAAACAATGTCCTGGATGCGCGTGAGGCCGCATCTAGAGATGCGTGGTGATCTCCAGGCTGTGGAAAGGCTGCGTAGTGGATCAAGAGGTGGTAGTCCCGCATGGGTGTGATGACCTAAGGGCGGCTAAAACCTGCAGTGGTCCAATCACGCTTGTGCCACGAGTAGTGATCTGTTTTGGCCACATCTTCCATTTACATTGAAGGAAGCAGCTGGGTCCTCATTAATGTCACCAGGGAGCCACGACACCATTCAAGCCACGGCGTGGTTGGATGCTAAGAGGAAGGAAGGAGGTCCTTTGCTAACAGCTGCTCAATGTGCTCTGTCAAGAAAGGTCTATCAAGCGCAACAGATACAACATGTAACAACGAGCGCGGCGTGAAACCACAATCACAAATAGACGGCCGCGCGAACTGAACTGATTTCAATGCATTGATCCTCATCAAAGGCGGACTCAGCTGTTCCAGTCAACCGCAGAGTCAGGTAGGCCTGGTTGTGAAGTTGCCGCAAAGATAGGGGGTGGAATTCTCCACACTCCGTCTGCTGCGAATGAGCCGACAAAGAACATGCTGAAGAGGACCCACGCGTCGGTGGCCTCAAAGAAGGAAGTGTGTGTCTGACGGCGGGATAGCCAAGTTTCTGCCATCCCCTCCTCATGTGTGGGATGTGACACAGGAGATGGGCTGGGAAAGTGCAGCAGGGTTTCTGCCAGTACTGTCACGCATGAAGCATCATAGAACTTTCTCCACTCGCGATAGGTATTGTGCAGAACCAGTGGTGGGCCAGTGGTGTGAACGACCGCTGAATTCCAAGGTCCAGGTGTGTACACACGGACCCATTCTTGTGGGTTGTCATCAACAAGTCCAGGAGAAATGTCGTACTCGAAATATCTGGGCACAATCCATTGACCATTCGTAGTCGAATTCCACATGGCGCCCGGGAAGCAATCGCAACAAGAGAATCCAGTGGCACGAGATCTGGCGTGAATCAACGGCAGAACATGGACAAGTGAAGAATGGTCAAAGCAACTACATGTCATTACCCGCAGAAGATCCGAACTGCTTGATTTTCAACCAAGTGAGATCATTGGAGGTCAGCGGGCCCGCTCAGTATGGTCAATGTCATCGATGAGCCCAACATCTGCAGCGAAAGTGACCACCTTCTCGACGCACGCAGGGGGACAGGCGCTTCCGATTCAGCAGTCTAGTGGCAATACTGCCGCAGCGAAGGTCAAGGTAGATCATGTGGAGGATGCGTGAGAGGCGGTGGGAGCAATCCGCGCACTTCAAAAAGAGAGTCACGCCCATGAGTCCAAATAATGAAAGTCTGAACATCTTGGTCCATC